TGTGTCCGCTACCTCTTTCCAACTTACATTGCTACAGTTCCTTTGAGAAAAAAGAAAAACAAAACAACAAACAAATTGACCTAGCTTGGAATCCTCCTGGAATTCATCAGACACGATTGTAAGCAACTGACTTGCTAAACAAACGTCTTATGTATAGGACTTGAAGGGAACTTGCAAGAGCCAGCAATAAGTATTCTGTGGCGGTGTAAAATATAACACGCTTGCGTGTGCTCTCATTGGCTGCAGCAAAAAAAAAATGGTACCCAACATATAAGTTACAACCAATAAAAAAATCACGTCCACCACAAAGCAACCGATGAAAAACTAAAAATTCCACGCTCCTTAAAACCACCTAGTTCTGTTAAATTCTATTTCAGTTGTTTGACACATCAAAGTGACGCAGAAACTCTGGCAGAGGCCAAAGCACAGGGACAAACTATGGGGAAAAGACTTCAATTCAGGATATAGAGAGAAGGAGCTTACTATGGCGATGTCGAGCATCACGTGCTTTCAAGTACTTCTGCTCTGCTGTAACCGATTCCAATGCCTCCCTCAGTTCAGCAATTTTAACATTTATAGGATCCAAATGCTCTGCAGGATATGAAAGAAAAACCAATGTTTAGAAATTGACAATAACCTCCGTGAGAATGTTCAATGTATGCTTGCTGACACTACCAAATGCCGCCTAAAATACCTACAAGGAATCAACACCTTAACACCAAAAGTTCAAAATGGAATCAATAAAACTTGATTACGTTAAAATCCAAAGATAAATTGTAAAAGAAGCAGACAAACCATCTTTGGCCAGGTCATGTTCCGTTGGAATGTGGCCAACATGTATGTAGAAAGAGACTGTTTCTGGTGTTGAGTAAGGATTATGAAAACAAAACTTGTACATCCCGCTTCTTGGGGCCTTGAAATCAAACTTATCCCCAGAAGTTCCCCTTACACTGTGCACTTGATTACCCCCAGGAGCTGTCACCTGCAATTGGAAAGAGACTAGAGGATTTAATACTTAGTTGTTTCCCCATTCTCCATTTCTTAATTAACAAGTAGGTATTTGTGCATCTGTTATGACCTTGTCCCAGACAAGTAGTGCAAACATTCCCAGTTCATGTGGACACATTTACATTTCATTCCAAAACCAGACATGGTTCCAAATTTTACATTCTCCAACCAATTGAAAAATTTCAAACCTCAAAAGCTTAGGTTTTCTGAAGGGATCCTTTTTTATGACAAATGCTATTTCAACTATTAGGATAGTGCTGCAACATATAAACGTTTTCTAGTCCATGTTTCAATATTACGGATAGGTTCCAGTATGTTGAGAATAGACAATGAATGAATTGACATTAAGCACCATTGCTGATAACAAAAAATTGGAATGGTTTGATTTCAGATGTCATAAATGCCAACAGATATAGGGGAAAGACACACTGTTGCTGATCAAAGATGGTACCACATGAAGCAAGAGTGATACCAGAAAGGTTTTCTGGAATTGAAAAGGTGTCACAAGACATCCTTGGGAACCAAAAGGGGAACTAAACGTTTGTCAAACATAAAAGAAAGTACACAACACAATGTTGTCTGACTGCTACTTTAGTTCCTCAAACAGAAAGATATAAGAAATGTCATTTTAAAGGAGGAAACAAGAAAAGATAGGCAGTGAATACGTGATGAAATCAGGAGACCAAGAAAGAAAATGGAGCCACTTTCCTTATCTCAGGAATGACAAAATGATAAAGACTAAACATCTCAATCTACCTTGGTCTTTTACGAGCATTTACATGCAATTTTCATCATAAATTTCATCACACCAATTGCAAACAGTACAAGTAACTTTTCCTTTACCCTCTATTTCATCTACGAGTTGCATAACAACTAAATCTATTTGCATCTTTCGAATTTGTAGAAGAACAGTCAGCAGCACTCAATAAGAAAGTCAGGGTCCTCATAAATCAAACTATAGTTCTGCTCATAGTCACGTATCATCAACATCAAGCTTTACTTCTTTTTTTTTCATTAAACTACAACAATGATAAACACACGGTAGCTCCAAAAACCATTAAAGTATAGACTCAGGCTAAAATGTTAAATCAAGACTCCCCTTTTGTCCAATCTAAACTTAAAGTAATCATTTAACTTAACCATACTGACAAATTTCTTTCACCAGGTGTAAATTCCAGCATAGTTCATACTTACCCAAAAAAAAATTAATCTTTTTCGTTGTTTTTGTTTTTCTTCTCCCTTAATTTTGAAATTAAATATCTTAAGGGGGCAGCCAAAAAATTCAATCTTTTTGCAAGACAATACTGTACCCTTCATTCAACTAGAAACAAGTAGTACTAAATAGCAAGCCAATAAAAATGTATGGGAAAAAAAGAAAAGAAAAAGAAAACCATTTAAATATCAGCATGAAAGGTTTCAACTGATATTTAAAATAAAAAAAGGTACCAAAATTGCATAAAAATCCAGTTTTTTTTCCTAATGTAAAAATGAATTAAACACAATCCCACGTCAAATAACAACAATATTAGAAAAATGAAAAAGAGAAGAAGAGGGTTTACAGTTAAGTCGATGCCGGGGTGATCGGAGCTCCAGAAGATGTCATGATCGACGACTACAAAGTTGCCCGAAACGGTGTCGCCTTCGTAGAGGACGTATTCGTAGACGCATTCGACGTCGTTTACTGTCACGGACAGCGCCGAGACAGAGAGATTTCCGAGGAAGCTGAACAGCAGGAGCACCAAAAGCCCATACACCTTCGTGCACTGGATTCCATCTCTCCTCCTTTCCATCTTCGATGAATCGATCTCTTTTCTCCCTCTGCTTTCCGATTCTTCGACGAAGAAAAGTGATTTTCCTGTTTTTTTTTTTTTTTTGGGTTTTGTTTTTTTTTTTGTTTTTTTTTTTTTTTTTAAAATCCTCCAACTCTCATGATCTCATCTCTTGAGGAGGGAATAGTGAGTTAAAACATACTACTCCTAGAGAGCGTGAGGATGAGATGTCTTGAAAACGCTGTCGTATCCTGCTTGGCTTCTTTTCATGACATGGCGTCTAGTAATTGGATGTAGTTATGTGGCTTTGAGCTATAAATGAAGGCAGGCAAGAAAAATGACTAATTACACTTTGTACCACTAATATTTTTAGTATTTGTTTTTCTTCCTCACATGATGTTTTAATTGAAGAATTATACTTTTCTACACAATCTTTTCTTTTCTTTTCTTTTCTTTTCTGGACAAGAAAGAGCTGTGATTCAAGGAGCGAAGTACAAAAAGAAAGGTTTGAATATCTTGAAAATGCATGCATTGCTGTACAGCTGAGTTGGCCTCAAAGCATGGCTGCACAACTCCTCAACTAGTTTTGGCCTGGCTGCTCCATCAGGGAGCTGATATTGACCAAATCTTGGTAACTTTTCTTCTTACTACAATGTCACCTATCGTTGTCCGACATTGACTAAGCTAAATCAGTTAAAATTGTTCAGCTTTTGTTCGAGTAAAACAATTTTCAATATAAACGTATGAAGGCAAAGGTTTCTTGAAGTTAGCTGGCTATTATGAGACATTCTGATCTTATATTATTGTTTACCTTCTTCTTCTTTAGGGACAACTCGGATTAGCAACCTTGAGAATACATTAGCCGTGAAGCTTAACACAAGAGGATTTAAAGGAGATTTCTGCAGCAGTGCCAATGGATGAAGTGGCTGGTGCAAAGGAGCCGGAGATCATCTCCAAATACACCTGGAATTAAAACAGCTATCACACCTCCCCAAGAAAAAACAAGTCGACCTAGGGACCGTTTAAATCTACAGAGGAGTGCTGATATTTTGTGGCTTAATTTGTTTCAGAACCTACAAGTTGGTGTTTTACATACAAGTGGTTATTAGGATTATCAGAAAAACCGTTCTATCTTTTAAGATACATCTTCTTAGTGTATGCAGCAATTTATGATAGTTTTCTTTGCTGGATTCTTTCTGGTTTTTTTTTTTTGTTTTCTCAAGATTCTGAATAAAAGGAGCCTTATGCTTGAAGCTTCCAGTGTTACTAGCATGCCTGCCTCTTATATTAAAGTATAATGGAGAATGAATGTTCAGCCGATCACGTTAGAGCAAAGAAGCTGAGGGCCTTATTCTTCATTCATCTATTTCCAGTAGAGTAGTTTTTTTTTTTTTTTTGGTAGGGCGGGCAGGGTTCCTAATGCTCAATAGATCGTTAGCCCACCCTAACGTCTATTTTCTTGTCATTTACTTTTTATGGTCACATACTAAAGATCAAGTTCGGTTTGACCTCCTAATTTTCACTTCCCTTTCGTATTCATAAAATAAAATAAATTTATTGCTTTAAAAAAAGAAAAAAAGAAAAATTACTTGTGCAATTGTTCGCATCTTATCGTTGCCAGTTTTTGGTGTCTGCCCGATCAAAGTTGAGGCTAAATGGACTTTTTTCCGAGTTGAGTTCAGACCGGACCATTGACAATCCTAACTCAAACACACGTGGCCACTACATATTACATATTTCAGATTACAGATTTTTTTGCGAAAATCATTGCATAGTGTTGTTAATCGAGCCGAATCGAGTCGAGTATTTAGCTGTCGAGCTCGACTTGAGTTTAACTCGAGCCCAATTCGAGCTTTCTCGACTAGGCAGACGAGCTTTGAAATGCATTCGGATTCGGCTCATCAAATGGGACATGTGGCTCGAGCTCGACTCGTTTATCACAAACGAGCCGAGCTTACAGCTCGAGCTCGTGTAAATTGATCCCAATAAAAGTCTATAATTTTCAATTTTTATATTTTTGAATTGTAAAATAACATATATACCCTTCCTTATTGAGCCTAATTGAACCGCTCTGATAACAAACGAGTCGAGCTTACTCGGCTTGTTAATTAAACGAGTATATCTCAAGCTCGAGCTCCACTTGTTTACTACAATTAACGAATTGAGCTCGAGCCATATCGAATTGAGCTGCTCGTTCCATTTAACAGCTCTAAATTTGCACTACATATTACAGATTTTCACTTGCACGTTTCATTGAAAGTCATTGCATTGAATGGTTGATATTTTACTTCTCCTGGTTGCCGAACTTTGGGTGATAGAGGAGGTTTTTCAGCCAATACTAGATCTTGAGTTTTGGAGAAATTATTGACTTTCTTACAGTATCAAACTATCAAGCAGAGGTTAACATCTTGCTACTGCCTCAGCTATTTGTCCCTCAAAGAACTGCAATCCTAGATGGAAGAAAAGAATCAAATCCAAATTCCAAGAGTGAAGCTAAGTTCTCAGGGGCTAGAGGTAAAGAATTGCTTCAATTTTCACAGCCAACTTTGGTTTGATAATGAGAATTTATATCCATTAGTCACTAATGTTAGAAGATACCAAAGGTTAGCTAACATTCAGTGTGATCAGTACATCTCTGATTTTAACACTATCAAGAACTTGTGCAGTGTTTCTTGGGGTAAATAAATAGATGGAAGTGTTGTTTGTTCTGCATTCATCTGTTTCCTGTCGAGGGATTTTGAAGTGCTTGTCATTTGGGTCTTTTGCCGGGCTCGATGGATCATTGGTTCGGCCATCATACTCTGGCACGCTTACCAAAACTTTGGTTCTTAGACCCGATTTAAGGTGAAATTGGATAGTCATACGTGGAGAAGAAGCTTGGATTGCTCGTGAAATTCTTCATACCTTTAAATGTTTCCAACTTTTGTTTCTGCATGCCCAGTAGAGAGAGGAAATTAAGCGGTGTATATCGTCTTTTTGATGCCTTGGCTAGAGGTTTATTCTTTATCCATGATAACAAAGAAGCAAGTTTTCCCTGCTATTTCCAGTCCAATGGTAAATCCATTCAAGGACCAAAAGGTAATCTTGTAGCACTATTTTTAACTTTTAATTAAGAGACCAAGATAACATGTATCTGGTCCCTTAGTAATCCCTTGACAAGATTTAACAACAGTGTTAACTAAGAGAAATCTCAAGTGAGGAATATTATCCGTTCTTAGAACTTTGTTACTAGGGAAAAGTGAAATGGGTACTACGAGTAATAAGAACAAATACTTCATCATACTACATCCTATTGTACCCTATCATATGCTAAATGTTTTCATTGCAAGCTGCTAGAGCCTCCGTTTGATAATCAAGGAGGAAAAGTGTTCTAGGATGCTCAGTGTAGAAAGTGGTAACATGTATTGTGTAGAAAGTGGTAACATGTCAATACAGAAACCAGAGTGTGAAGAGTTTAATCAAGACAGGTACATTTTCATGTTGAATCGATGGCAGTGCGCAGAGTGCAGAAGCTAGTTACTAATTTCATAACTGGTGTTGCTTCTTTGATCTAACAGGTGTCAAAACTGGGATTTGGATGTGGGGGGCTTTCTGGCTATTATAATGCTCCTCTATCCCATGAAGAGGGATTTTCAGTAATCAAGGAAGCATTTGATAGAGGTATAACTTTCTTTGACACATCAGATGCCTATGGACGAAATAATGATAACGAGATCTTGGTCGGAAAGGTAAGTCGTTGGCTTCCAAAATTGAGCTCTAATTTCTTGTGACAATATTTATTGTTGTAATGAAGCAAACAACCAGAAACTTCAGAAAGATTGAAATATAATTAACTGCTATGAATTGGTAGATTTCTGAATCCACATTTTGTCCGGGATGTGTTGATGTAGAATCAAAAAATAGCAAGTCATAATGCTTATTCATCCTGTTCTCAAGGAATATTCTCAGTCTTTTGAAAGTCACTTTTCAAAGTGATGTCTCAAGTTGTATTTCTTGTGTTTTCAGGCTTTAAAGCAGCTTCCTCGAGAAAAGGTTCAACTAGCAACAAAATTTGGCATTTCTGTACTTCCTGAAAGTACAAAAGCAATGGGGTTGGTTGATCAAATTCGTATCACCGGTACCCCTGAATATGTTCGCAAATGTTGTGAAGCTAGTCTTAAGAGGCTCGATGTGGACTATATTGATCTGTACTATCAGCACCGTGTAGATGTTTCAGTGCCAATAGAAGAGACTGTAAGCATTCTTGAGTTATTTGTTTATTGTTCTCACGGCTTTGAACTGCTAAACTTGAATGATAATCTTGAATTCTTTGCCGAGGTAGATGGAGGAGCTCAAAAAGCTTGTGGAGGAGGGGAAAGTAAAGTACATCGGACTATCTGAAGCTAGTCCGGACACAATAAGGAGAGCGCATGCTGTACATCCTATTACAGCCTTACAAATGGAATATTCTTTACTGTATCGTGGAATTGAAAAAGAAGTTATTCCACTTTGCCGGTTGGTAACGATTACATGCAAGTTTTTTACCATCTGCAGACTTGCTCCGAGTTTTATTTCAGTGAAAAATACACGTTTTCAAAGTCCTAGTCTTATTTATAATTAGTCGGAAGTGATGGCACATTTTATAGACTGGCGAAACCTAAGTCTTGTTTCTTTTTGTGCAGAGAACTTGGTATTGGAATTGTGGCATATTCCCCTCTTGGTCACGGGTTTTTTGGAGGGAAGGCAGCAGCGGAGAGTATCAATTCAGAAAGCATATTGGTATGTCTTTATTTTCTGATATGTTCTGTGTCAGGTCTCATCATGAAAATGCAAGAGCAAGACTCTAAGGATGAACCTGTCTTTTCTTTAACCTACATTGATGGTCACAGAGGGAATCTTTAGCCCACTTTGAGAGGATTATCGTGTAATGACATTTATCTGCAATAACATTATTGTCTATATCAGATAATTTTCGTCACCTATGATGGCATTGAATGATTTCCTTTATTGCTTATTTTAGGTTTCTAAGCTCATTTTGAATCATTCATTCATAGGGTTCAATTCCAATGTTTGCTGGAGAGAATTTAGAAAGGAACAAAGTTCATTATGCCCGCATAGCAGAATTAGCAATAAAACATGGCTGCACGCCCTCGCAACTAGCTTTGGCATGGCTCTTCCATCAGGGAGATGATGTTGTACCAATTCCTGGTAAGTTATTCCCATATGGCATCTTGCATTTTTTTTCCCCATTGAACAAGCTAATTAAAGTCTTTTGCATTATGACGCACTACATTTCAATCTTAAGTTTATTTTCAATGTTGGTTTGACAAAATTGATGAATAAAATTGGATTTAGGGAGCTCTTATTTAACTACAATATGCAGTAAAATCAATTTTGTTTGGCTAAATAAGAATCAGTTTGTCGACAAGCCCCTGACCAACACTACTGGCTCTGATGGTGTGTGGAGTTTTTTATTGTCACCATAATCTTGTGCAGGTACAACAAAGCTTATGAATCTTGACAACAACATCAGATCTTTGGTTGTGAAGCTTAATAAAGAGGATTCGAAATCAATCTCTGAAGCAGTGCCAGTCGATTCAGTCGTTGGTGAAAGACAACTGCCTTACATGTATAAATACAGCTGGGAGTTTGCAACAACACCACCCAAAAACAAGAATTCGTCAGCCACATAATTCCACGCATTGAAATCTCTGGAGTGCATGCAGGATTCATCCGAGTTTCTTACGGTGTGTGTCCCAGAAATCATTAGTTGAATGTGAGTTGGATGGTTTTCTCTTATAAATAACTGATCATGTAACTGGTAATTATAAATCTTTTTATTGCATCCAGATGAACTGGAATATGTCAATTACTTGGTGAGCTACCATAACGGCTTATATTATTGTGTATCCAAAACTTCCAGGTCTTAAAATCTTAATCTAGCCATATAATTTTACTGTATATAAAAAGCTTTAGATTCATGGAATATTGAAATTTTGAGTCAATTACAGTGTCCGCGTCAAGATTATATCATTTTTAAATAGATTTGTAATGATGATTAGGTAATTTGCTTGGACCCCCAAAATTTACGGAACAAATTAAGAGATAATGACACGAGCTATCAAATTTGCAAACCATGAATGAATGATTTGCGAGAGAGCCTGTGAGAGTATTAAATCACAGAATGGCTAATTAATTTGCGTCTCTTACTTTCAGAGATAATTAACGACAGTCATCCCAATATGCTACTCCATTTTAAACATTTGAACAGGCCAGCTACGTCTTCTCCGGCCATCGGGTCCTATGGCAGAAATCTCCATGGAAATATCAATACTGCGATGTTGAGCAGCACGAACAATGCTGATACGAGATTGTATTCTCGCAGCAGGGCAAGCATCAGAACCAACTGCGCCTGATCCATCAGAACCAACCTGCTTTCCCTTTCCCATGGTGATAGGTTCTTTAAATGTCAGTATCGTCTGTGACCAGTGGGTTTTGGGGGTGTTTGGAGACGTTGATAAAATGGTTGGCATTTCCCTACAGAACCTTTTTGTAAACCCAGTCTCAAACCACAGCACAAGTCCATGACATTTTCCCATTTTAGAGCTTAACTCTGCCGGGGCGTCGACGAGTGCATCAAACTTTGGTGCCAGTTCCACTTTCGCCGTAAAATCCATCTCTTGATGCTTCATTGTCATCAGATCAAAGCTCTGATGCAGTCAAAACCAAAAACAAAGTTAAGAATACAGATTGTACAAGACCACAGATAAAATCCCTCATCATCAGACATATCCATATAGTGTGATCTAACTTAAATTTCAAACACAAACCTGAAGAACTTGTGTCTCGGTTACAATGTCACAGCCATCAATTGTGTCAACAAGAGGAAGCTGAGCAGCATCTTCAACAACTTCCTTGCCAATACAAGACATATTGAAACCATACACATTTTCCCAAAATGGAAGACTGGTTCCCCCCCTTCCAAATCCAGCAACAAACTAGAATTGACCATATACAAATAGTTATTGCACAAGTTCTACAAAGGAGAAAAACAAAGAACAGAAGTTTGAAAGACTCACAATGGTAGCTGTATCCGGGAGAATGGCCCCACCAGGCTTCAACCATTTATCCCGTGCATACAGCACAGAGCTGAGCATTGACTCATAGAGCAGGCAATAACCCATCCATTCACTCAGTAATACATCCACACTCTGAGGTTTAATATGTTTGGCATTTTCTAGCTCTTCAACCATAGCCTGAACCACCTCTATTTTCCCAGTGCAGTGATGTTTAGCTTCACCGGAGCTTTCACTTGACAGAAGACCATTATCCTTAGCAACCTGCGCCCATATTCAAATTCAATAGCTATAAAGAACAAGAAACTGATAAAGAGAAGCAAAAAGTGCAAATTCAATCTGAGACAAAAATGACAATGAAAAACTTCAAATTTTCAAAAAAAAAAAAAAGCAAAAAGAAATCTTAACCTGAGCTGCCACAGAAGCCATTTTTTTGCTAGCTTCAACTGCAATTACCCTTGATGCTCCTGCTTGGGCTGCAAAGAGACTTAAAGATACATAATCAAGAGTATCAATTAGTTGCTTCTTCTAGCAAGAGAAATAACACTGTAATTACTAACATTTTATTTCTTTAGGGTAAGAAAACAGTACTCCCATATTTCAGATGAAAATGTGAGTGAATACGAACGTACCAAACCCTCCCATCCGACTTTTCATTCTCCACCATTTCTCTCAGCATTTCTACTGAACATAGGCTTTGTTTGATATCAAATCATGGTGTTGGCAATCAAACATGCCTAAAGCCAGTCCCCAACATTCTTGAGTCATTTTCGAATGTAACAAGAGGTGATCGGTATCCAGTCTTGCCCCCTTGACATAAAATAACAGCTAATATAAATCCTGTTTCTTTTACTCAAAATTTTGACTGGAAGAATCATATCCCAAGTAGTGAACTTCTCTTTTAGAAGCTTTTGAACCTCAAATAGTGTTCCAGGGAAAATTTCTTTCCTTCCAGGTGGGTTTCACTACGAGATTTACTTAGTAATCAAGAACTCTTAGTCTATTAGTAATTTACACATATCAGTTGTAACACAGAGTTAAAAGCGAGATGAAATGTAAAAGTTAATCGAGTGTGACTCTCTCTGCATCACTTAGCTGTGAGGCCCATTTTCTTATCATCATCTTCTTCTTAAGTTCTGCAATCTTCCTATATGATAAAATCTGCCTTATCCAAAAGCATAATTAGCAACCAAGAACCATCCAAACTCCTCCACTCAACCACCAAACTCTTCAAAAACAAATGGCATTTCAGTTAAAAGATTAGCTCATCACGGCGTAATTTTCTGAAGCTCTAAAGTCCTCAATACACAAGAAACTGCCGATGTATCATAGAACAGCAGACCAAAAGATAACACAGAAACACCATAGCCTTTGCAGTTCCATCCCTTTTACCTTGAAATTGGAAATAAAAGCAAGCAATAATAGTTGCATGATAATTAGTTCAAAATGAGCTTACCATGAGCACTACAGTTTGTTATCGGCTGAACATTTTAATCCAATAAAGACAGAAGGCAGCAGTAAGCCAAAAATAACCAACAATATGAAATTTAGATATTTGAAAAATGCCTAGAATAAAAAGTTCCTATTTACCTTAGTATGCCTGTTCCACAACCAACATCCATTACAACAGCACCTTTCAGTAGAGAAGGATTTTCCAGGATTGCTCGCCTGTATGCATCAGTTCTTACCTGCATTAATTAAATAGGCAAGTCTATGAAAATATCAACCAAATAAACAGTGAAATCTTCTTCTTTTCTCAGATCATATTCAAGGTTGTAGCTAATTCATGTCTAATACCTTATCACTGATCATTTCTCTGTGGATGCCAAATGAACTATATGAACCAAAATAATTTTTATTTATATCCTTGATTTCATTTGCGGCAACCTCTGCTGAAGAAATAATCAACTGTTTATCCTTCACCTTTTGATGAGACGAAGCACCTTCTCCCACACCAACAAAACCATTACATGTAGACTTCTCCAAAAGATTTGCAGTCTTTATATCACTTTCGGGCGAAGAAGACCATTCTCCATTTTCTAAAGGAGATTTTATTTTTGATGAAAATTGTTCTATTGCACAATTATCATCATTGGAAACTTTCTCAGAACTACCCACATCTCGTAGTATTTTTTCAGGCATGTAACCATCATCTTCACCTTCCTCATCATCACCAAAGCTGTACAATAGTGGATCCTCTTCCATAAAAGGGGTTAGATATTTATCATCATCCCAAGGAAGCTTATTATTTTCAAAGCTGGCCACTTCGTGTAAATGGTGTTGCAGCTCTTGCTTCGATTCACAGGTGATTCTACAGCCCCAACATGTCTTTTCAGACACCTAAAATAAGAAGGCATGTTTAGTCAAGTTGTCAACTTCTAGTGGAGTAATTATGAAAATCAGCAGGGATCTCTATAACATAATGAATGCAACATTACCCTTAAGGAAACTCATGACCCTTAAATGTTTGTTAAATCAAACTGAATAGCAGAATGAAGACAATAATGTACTGTCCAAACAAAGTAACAATTTGGCTCCCGGTTGGCAAAAGTCCAGGGAGAGAGAAAGAGAGAGAGTTGAAAACCTGATTTAAAAAAAAAAAAAAAACTACTTTTTGTATTCCATAGTAATTAGTTGTGTCAATGGCTCATTGTTAACTCAAGTTCTGAGATAGAAACAAAAGAAAATCTGGTATAAAGTCTACATATGTCATGCTTTCCTCATGTTTTGAAGCAACAACAAAGACAAGAAGGATAACTAGCAATAATTCCACTAAAGCAGACCTACCAATCACGTAGTCACCCCACAAAATTTCCCACAAATTTTCCTATAACCACTACCGCAAATAAATAGCACTATGAACAGAATAATAAACTGACCAACATCCATCCAGTAGCCCACACATTAAACTATAAAAACCCTTTTGTCTCCTCACGACTACAAAAAATGATCAAACATGTAAAAGTTGCCACAAGAAGAGTACCTGGAACCTGATGTAATTAATGAGCTTAAAACATCCGTAGAAATCCAAACTGAGGATTTTCTTTACGGCGTTGAAATCAAAATGGTGAGCTGAAGCACAGTGTTGAAAGAGCAAATTGGAACAAGTGTACAAAGAGTCGCAGAACAAACACAGCATCTCTGTGTCATAAACATTTTCGTCATCACCATCTTCTTCATTCCAGTCTTCCCAGTTCTGCTGGTCTTCTTCATCTTCTTCTTCGTCTTGGTCCAAGTCTATGTCGTCTTCTTGTCTTTCTTTTCGCAATGCTACCACACCATTTTCTTCTTGTTTGTAGTCCCTCGCCATTGGAAAAACTGTAGGTGTGTTGTAAACCTTTTTCCAATTTGACGAAGGAAAACAGTAAGTAGTTGCTGATTTTCGAATTGAATAACATAAAATAGGGAAAACAGACCATTCTAGTTAGCCCTGAACACCTTCCTTCACTGGATTAAAAACTGGTTCCTAGATTACTATGCATTCTTAGGAATTTAAGGCCAAGATTTGAGTCGATTTAAGATAAGCATATAATTAACAAAACTGACTTAAGACTTAAATGTGCATAGCACATATAGCAACAAGTAAAAGTAAAACATCTACTTTGAAGTTTCTTTTCTGTCAGAAAACTTATTGAATAGCACATACCTAATCACATGCTACAACAATATAGTAGAAAGCAAATAAACTAAAGAAATAACAAAATTGCACTAAGCCTATGTACCACATGGGGTTCACACGAGTTCTAAAAGGGTAAGCAAACGAATTAAAGCCAGTTCTGACTTAATTTGACCAATCGAAAACCTACCTAAACTAAATAATTGAGTTAACAAACCTAGTGACATAATTGAAAACTTTTCGAGC